TTTGTCTGGCCTCCAAAATTGGGACAGAATCCTCTTCTATGGTTTGAAGCCACCCAGTTTGCAGTGTTTAGTGAAGGCAGCCCCTGGGCAGCACATGACTCTCTTTGCCCTACTTGCTCCCTTCTGCATCCCTTTTTGCCCCTGTTGCCTCATAGCTGCCCTCAGGTCAGGACCAGCTCTGCATGCCACCACTGTCTCCCACCTTTGTATACTTCTTAGGTTCTGGGAGGGCAAGCACAGGCATGGGCATGGGTGTTGAAGGGAGCAATAAGTCTTCCTCCTGTGCCCAGGCCTTCTGCAGCTAACATGGCCTTCACGGTGCTTACCACCCTCTTTTCTGACTTGCCGGCTGTCTGGGTTTTAGGAGACTCTTCCTCCCTCTCTGGCCTCCATGTGCCTGACCCAGGCAGATACTCACGGGAGATCAATCCAAGCATGGGGTGCTATCCGGTCCTCCTGGAGCTGGTTATTGCTGAGTACAAGGGAACTGAGGTTGTGGCTGCCACTCAGCACATGCTCAGTCACCTCCTCGATGAGGTTGGTACCCAGGTGCAGCTCCTAGGGCCAAGGGCCATGATGAGGGTCCACCTGCCACTTTTTGTCAGTCAAGCCAGAACCTGGCTCTGGCTGTCCCCCTTTTATCCAGCCCTGTCTGGAAGTCATACATCATCATCTCTATGATATTCAGATTCATGGTTTTATGTGCAAAGAATTCCAGGAACATCTTTCTATTAGGCCATGGCTCCTCAGAGACCTTTAAGACCCATCTCTAGAGAGTACCACCAAGGGGAATGGACTTTCAGGGGACTGGTGACCCCAAGAGGATATGGACCTTACTCAGGAACACCCAATGGATCCAGAGTCCAGGAGGCCCAAGTCTGGGCTTTGAGAAAGTTAGCTCAAGCACAGTCTCTGAAGCCTGGTGACTTCCATTATAGAAATCCCCTGATGGTTTACTCTGGTGATTTAACTGTAATAACATCACCCTCACTCTCATCCTAGGGTCTCCTATCTTACCTGTAGGGATGCTGGTAAGCCAGGTGGGATGGTCCTCAGCCTGTTCCGGTCCATCCTCAGGTAGAGCAGGCTATGGAGGGGCTGGAAGGCCAATGAGGAGATGTCCCCATCATGCAAATGGTTCCCTTCCACTTCCAGTGTCAACAGTTGGCTGAGTCCTGTAGGCCAGAAAGGGGTTCAGTGAGTGGACCAACCATGGTACTCCCTCATCTCCACCCTTACTTGGCTTCCCAGCTTCCCAGGCCCAGCCCCTTTTCCCGTACCTCGGAAGCTGCTGCGCTGCAGACTCTGCAAAAGGTTGTCATTGAGTTTGAGCTCCTGCAGGGAGGCAGGCAAGGTGGGCACTACAGACAGCAAGTTTCCATCCAGGTTCAGCCGCTTCAGCCGGATCAGGTTCTGAGAGGAGAGAAGAGCTGGCTGGGGGCTGGCATGCTGCTGGTCAGGATGTAGGCCTTGGAAGTGGCACTGTAGCTCAAGTGCTAGAGTGCTCGCCTTGAGCTGAAGAGCTAAGGGACAGCGCCCAGGCCCAGAATTCAAACCCCACAACCGACAAAAAAAAAAAAGGATGTAGGCCTTCCTGGACATGGCTTTGGGCTTATCTTAGCCAAGGGGCACCTCTATTTGGTTATATTGTGGCTTCCTCATTCCCACTGGGACCAAGCCTGTTGGGGGTGGCCTGTTTTCCCATATTGATGCTGCTTCCAAGGTCCCAGAAATAGATCATACACCCCAGATCACAGGAACTATCATGTTAGGTGCTTCCTGTAGTACCTCCTGCCAGCCTGACCCCCAGCATTTCCACTGTGCAGCCCAATGCAGAGTAACAAGCACCCAGGTAATAAACATCTGAGACCTGCCAGGCCTCCTCCAGACCCAGGAGACTAGGTGGAGAAACTGTGGCATACCTTGAAGGCATGGGGGTGCAGGCCTCGAGTGTGCAGTCTGTTCTTGCTCAGGTCCAGCCACTCCAAGTTGGGAAGCCCCAGGAATGTGTGAGCTGGGATCTTGACAATTTCATTCTCTGTACACAGAGAGGCAGCCATGTCCTATGCCCCCCAGCCCCCTGCCCTTGGCTACTCCGTACCTCCCCCCTCTCCCCGCTCTTATGGAGAAGACAGGGCTTCTGATTGTCTCAGGTGAGGGCATCTTCTCAGTACTCACCAAGACCCATGGGGAGGATGAGCTATGCCCTGTGCGGTGGGACAACCACACTGGCTGGGGAGTGCCTAGAGAGCGAGGAAGCCAGTGGAAGAGCACAGGCACACATCCTTTCCACCCTTGCTGCAGGGGTGAATGCTAAAACAGGGGCCACCCACCTGACAGGTAGAATGTGGTCAGGCCAGGGTCACTCAAGGCAGGAACATGCTTCATTTTGACATTGCCACAAGCAATAGTTGCCTGGGCCAAGAGGCATGAAGCTGGCAAGGAGGGCGTGGCCTGCTCCAGGGTGTGCAGGTCTGTAAACCTAGGTGCATGCCCTTGCCTGCTTGCTAGCCCCTTTTGCCCATGGCCTGTGGTTTTGGAGCTTCTGCAGCTATTGCTGCTGCTGCTGCTGCTGCTGCTGCTGCTGCTGCCGCCCCCGCCTCCCTGGCCTCTGCTGTAGTCCTTCTGCTGGTTCAAGGCCCCTGGAGAAAGAGTGAGGCAGTCTTGGCTTGGTCACCAACAAGGGCTCAACCAATGGGCAGGGCCTTGAGGCTGGGAGGGGTGAGTGAAACTGGGAGGAGACATTGCTTTGGTGGGTTCTTCTCCCTTGGCCACAGAGAATAGGGCAGGACTTGAGCTAGTGACACTAGTGTGAGTGATGGAGGATGGATAACGTCTTGGCCACCTCATGGTTACTATATGGCCCCATCACCCCTAGCAGGCATTACCTGGAGCTATGTAACCAGGCCAGTCCTCACCTTTGGGCAGCCTTTCAGTGTTCGGACCTCTTCTCCAGGTTTCCTGACCTCCTGTATTCCTGCTCCAAGTCTTCTTGGTAGCCAATACCCTCTCCGGAGTCCTGTTGGTCTGCAAGGGCCTGAGCTTCTCAGTCTGGGGTTTTTCTGCCCTAGCCCCCAGGACAGAAGTGGCCTGGGAGTGACCCTGCTCAGTGCTTTGCCCCTTGTTTTGCCCCTGCTCCTGCCCTGAGGCCACTGGGGGAGACCTCTTCCGCAGCCATGTCCTGTGGGATGTCTTCCGGGCAGAGATAGATGGATCCTTGCGTGTGGGCCAAGCCTGCCACCAGTACAGCTGCTCATCCTCATGTCTGTGTGAGTCACCACTCCTGGGGTTGGGTTTCACTTGACCTGCAAAAGAGTCCATATGGGCTAGGGTGGCTAGGAACGCCCCCCAGCCATGGCAGAGGGGCCTCACCTCCTCTCCCTCGAGTGGGGTATTCACTGTACCCTCCCTTTCCGCTCAGACCACCTCTGCTATCTCTCCTCTTCTGAGGAACACCAGAAACAGTGAGGAGAGAAGAGAGGGAAAGAGGTTATCTGGGAAGAAAAGAGAAAAAGAGAAGGGAGGCAGAGCAAGAGAGTGAGAGAGCACAGAGCCTTACCCAATGGGTAGCCTCATCTGGCAGTGCTGCCTGCTTGGCAGAATTGAGAAAGCTCTTTTGTGCTCTTCGTTAGGACAAAGCACAGGCTGGGCCTAGTCTACAGAGCCAGGAGAGTTTCAGTAATAGCCTTAGGGCTGAGGACCTCATGTACTTAGAGGATCTTGGGTTCCTCCTCCCATCACTCCCCTCATAGCCTGTCAAGGACAGAGGAGTGGGGTGTCTCTTCTGAGTACCCCTCTAATCCTATGCCCCATGTAGGCAGGGACCCTGCATGGGCCTTGGGGAGATGAAGGGGTTGCTGCCAGATGGCATTATTGGCTATTGGGAGAGACTGCCCCAGTGCCTGCTGGGAGATAGAGGTTGTTGGGAGCTAGACAAACCTGAAGGCCAGCTTGAGGAGTTGACAGCCACTTCAAAAGAGGGACAGAGGCTGGGAAAGTGGCTTAGTAGTAGAGTGCTTGCCTTGCATCCATGAGGCTCTGGGTTCAATTCCTCAACACCACATAAGCAGAAAAATCTGGAAGTGGCACTGTGGCTCAAGTGGTAGAGTGCTTGCCTTGAGCTGAAGAGCTGAGGGAAAGTGCTCAAGCCCACAATTCAAGCCCCACAACCAACCCCCCCCAAAAAAAGAAAGGAAAAAAGAGGGACCGAATTGAACTATATAACTTGAGGGTAAGGATGGGAGGGGGAAAAATAAGAGGTAATGCATGGAAGGGATAACATTGATAATTGAATTTATGACCTGACTTATGGAGTTGAAATCTGTTTGTACAACTACTTTAATAATAATAATAATAATGGGCACTAAATGCAAAACTATTGCATTACAATCTTAAAAGTAAAAGAGAGGTGGTAATCCCTGGGACCTCCCCTGCTCCTACAGCCTGGAGCCCCCTGCTCTGTCTTCAGGGGAGGGGTTCTAGATCCATACACCAACCCCTCCTGCCATATGCCTGGAGCAGAAGTGTGACCACCAAACAAAACACCAACCCACCAGCCTATGAGACAAAGGTCAGAGTCCTTGTTCCAGAACCCATTGAGCCAAGCTCTGCCTGCCCTCCCCCCACCCCCGAAGGCTCTACATTCTCAGCTCCCCTTCCCTCCCACCCCCAGTTCTCCCTGTCCTGGAAGGCTTCGGGGCAGCCAGCTCAATCCCCTGTCCAATGAACCCTGGTCCCTTCTGCAGCCCCTCCCCTTCCATGTCCCATCTTACACAGTGGGCCCAGGCTTCCCAATCTGCAGTCCCCTTTACTTTCCAGAAGGGGGCCTTCCTGAGGACATGGGTCTCTCCTGGCTTTGCCTGAGTGCCCCAGGTGGCACTCTCAGGGCAATTGGCTTCCTCCCCTCCTCCCCAGCCCAAGGGGTACTACAGTAGTCGGACAAGGCACTCTTCTTCTGCTGGTGCCAGCTACTCACCGTTGGAGGACCGGGACTGGCTGAGTGGTAGCTGCAGGGTAGGCAAATCTAGTGGGGTCTGTGGGGCTGTGGTCTCTGTCAGGTTCAGCCCCTGGTTTGCCAGTGCCCCCTCAGAGCAGCACCCCATCCAAAGAGCCAAGATGAGGAACAGCATACCCTTCATTGCCTCCATGAGCATGAAGAGGTATAGGAGGTGGAGTGATGACCACGGTGGGTGGGACACTGACACACACAGAGATGGGGGACGGCTCGCAATAGTCTTGTTCCTGCTTCCTGAGTGCCAGTCCCTAGCTGTGTAGCTGGGAGCTGCCCTTGCCCACCCCAGCATCCCTTCTGCCAAACAAACACCTCTCTGGGCTTGTCCCAACACCCCAATGTACTCTGCTACCACCCGAGGAGAAAGACAGACATTCTTTCGCAAACCTGAGTGATCCTGCTTTTCCTGTAAGGCCTGCATTGATTCTTCACTGGCCCAGGCCCAGTGGCCCCCATGAATAGGGCTTCTGTCTCCACATACAGCAGGCCTGTGAGGCCCACCATGGAGCAGGATGCCCAGTGCACACTGCCAGCTCCAACCTCCATGGCTGGGAAAGGAGAGGGGCAAGGGCCTCCTAGATCGCAGGAACAGAGGGCAGGTGCCAGGGCAATGGTGAGTCTGGCTTCTATATAACCTACCAACCCCCATGGGCTTCTTCTATAGATATCAGTAGAGGAAACAGAACATGTGGCAAAGCATGGGGAATGAACATGGACCTCTGCCCTTATAATCCAGTGCTACCGGGGCTCAGGCTTGACTTGGGATGGGACTGGCTCCTGCTTCTCCTACAAACTTTCTGCCTGCCATTCCCTCCCACTTGTTCCCTCCAAAATGGGGGAGGGATGGGTTGGAAGTTCTGTGGCACCCCGATTGGGAGTTCTATGAACCAGGCACTACGTAGGGAAGCCATCTTACAAGTTTCCCCCAGACTCCTTAGCCAAGATCCTTATGCCCCAGGTGCCCTGCTACCTCCCACAACACTCTGGGTCAAAGGGGTCTCTATAGATCAGGATGGCACGAGGCAGAAAGGATGTTGGGCCTGAGAGAAGACACTGCTGGGTAGGGACAAAGGAGTAGATAGCAGAGCAAGAGGCAAAGAAAAGGGGATGTCTATACAGCTCCCCAAAAGATCATTTGGAGCAGGGCCTGTGCAGCGACAGCCCCAAATCCATCTATGAGAGCTGGGGGCAGCAGGCAGCTGGGGCTGGCGGCCGCGTGGAGCTCACCACATGGCTTGGCTCCTGGGGCCAGCATTGAGGAAGCTTTTCCTACAGTCCTGTCCAGTGTTGACTTATGTTTGGAAGCGATCTGAAGCCATGAGTTAATTGTGGGCCAGGCTTGGGTGGAGGGGAGAAGGGGAAGCAGTGGGTGAGGGGCAGAGGCCAGGCACGGTGTTTGGGTATTCAGGTATCCTGAGGTCCTGAGGGAGTGTGAGCAAGCTAAGGTAGGGAAGGATTCTTGCAAGTGGGGAGCAGCCAGGGCACATGGGAGTAACTGCCCTGAGGAGCCCCCGCTCCATCCTGCTAAGAGCCACACAGGGTCCGCAGTCGCCTCTCCCCACTTCCGCATGCAGAGCTCTGGTTTATGGCCTGAATTTGGGACGGTGCCACCCATGGACCAGAGACAGGGACTTTGTGAGTAATGAGCAAATGCCTTGGGAGCCAGGGATGAGGCCACTAGCTGAGTGTGCACCCCGTGGGTGACATAGGATGGCCCGCACCCAGCATTTTGTCTGGAGGGGCGCTGCTGAAGCTGGAGGAAGGAAGCCCTTAGGCAAATGGGGCGGGAGGTGTGCCATCGTCAGTCACCAAGACAGCAAGGCTTGCCAGGAGACCCTTTTTTACAGAATGGGTGATGGGGCTCCACACCCATCACCGAGTCGCCTAGTCCAGTCATCATCTGAGGTGACCCTGGGATGAGAGCCCTCACTCTGCCCCTCCCCCTGCCCAGGGATGGATTCTGGAATCCTGGCCCCCTACCCATTTCCCCTGTTCTCACCGCTCCCCAGGCGCTGACTAAACATCCTGCCATCTGGTTCCCATTACTTGGGATGGGGGTGGGGGAACGCTTGCTCCCAGGTTTCTCTGGCACAGCTAGGCTGGAGGAGGGAGGGCCATCTCTTCCTACCACCTAGACAGGAAGGGCTAAGGCCTAGGGTCATCTCCATTTCTAGGTCCCATGGAGTACTGTCCTGCCTGCGCTGCCCTTGCTTGAGGAACCCGAGGTGAATCTGAATAGGCACCAGAGGAATGGTCTGCCACCTACTCTTTCCTGCTGGGATACCAAGTGCTCTCTGAGACCTTGAAGGAACCCCCCACAGAGCAGAGCCAGCCCGTGGGGGGCGGGCAGGGAGGGCTCAGCAAACCCAGAGATTCCCAGCAAGTTTCTGTCTGCCCTCGCCAACCCCCCCCCCCTCCTCCCAAGAGCTCATTTGGATCAAGTGCTGAGCCAGGCAGGGCCTCAGGCCAGCACGGATCCTGAGCCGATGTCTGGAGCGGAGGGTGGGAGAGGCATTGGGATTTTCCAGGAACCAGGATGAGGCCTGGGGGTTGCTGGAAAGAGTGTTGGGCTCCTTGCTCTACTAGGGACTGCCTGGCTATGTGATCCTAGGAACAGAACAAGCCTCCTTGCTCAGTGCCTCAGTGATGAAAACACTGTCCTTAAAAAGTTGGAGAATCTGAGAGCAGGCAGGGAGGAGAATCTGCTATGAACACTGTAGTTTCCAGATGCCTAACTTGTAAGGACAAGAAAGGGACTCCCCTTCCCTTCCTTTCTCTCCCCCACCCTACTTCCCTTCCTTTCCTTTTTCTTCCATATGGCTTACTCCCTCTTGCGTATGCTTGCGCGCACGCACACACACACACACACACAAACACACACCCCCTCTGCAACTTGAATCAAATTGGCAGGAAAGTGACAAAGGAGAATGACAAAGCAATGCTTCCCGTCCCTCAAGTCTCCTTAGAGCTTCATGTACAGAGGAGAACTCTCCTCTCATCAAAGGAGAATGGGAAGACATTCTTTGCTCATGCAACATTCTTGAGCGCCTGCTCACTTGGTGAGTACATTGGGACTCTACCAGAAACAAAGGGGCTGGCCCTGGTAGCTAGAAGAAGCAACACTTTCCACAGGGACTTAGATGAGGACCGTGAGAAAGTGACTTGGGCAGAGATATGAGTAAAGAGGACAGAGCCATGCAAAAGGAATTCCAGTAAAGAGGCTTCTACATAGGAGGGGTGTTCCATGTAAAGGCACTAAGGCAGAAAAGGGTTTGGTCTACTTTGAGACGCAGCAAAGAGACTAGATGTTGCAGCAGTCTGAGTGAGCAAGGTGTCTAAAAGTGGCTGGCTAACGTTACCTTTATCCTTGCAGACAAAATGAAGCTGGCTGGGCTGAGGGTATGGCTCAAGTGGTAAAGTACTTGCATAGCAGGTGCAAGGCCCTGAGTTCAAACTCCAATACTGCCCAAATAATAACAGTATAATAATAATAATAGAAAATGGAGTAATGAGGGTGTTAAAATAAAGAGCAGAAAACGAATTCAACAGACCAGATCAACTTTAATGGAAAGTTGAAGAGGGATGTCAAAGTGACCTGAGGAGATTTAGGACACATGAGGCATAATGGGGCAGAGGTAGAGGGACAAAGTAGGATCATGGGTGGGGGAGGGGGAACAGGGACTGAGGTAGTTGGATGGCTCAAAGAGTTTCCAGAGTTTAAACAAGTCTCTGAGGCGCCCACCACCTGCGGGGGTCGGCGAGAATGGGGAGAAGTGGGCTTTCATATTTAGATTAAAATTCTGGGCTGGAGATTGGGCTGGAGGGTAGTCAGTGGGCCAAGACATGAAAACAATTTTGAATTATGAGAACAAAGTAGATTCCCATTAATAATACATACATAAATATATAAATAATACAAGGTGGGGAGGGGGAGAAAGGAACCACTGTGGTTTCCTCACACAATTGGACATTTGATAAAAAGGGACCCTTAACAACTCTGAACCCTGGGCAGCAGGGTGGAGCACAGATGTGTGCAGGTGGCAGAGCCAGGCAGGGGACAGGTGATAGTTTGTGGTCCAGGGGAGAAGCCCAGATGGGCAAAGTGAATGGCGCAAGCCAACCTCATGCCTGCCCTATCTCGACAAGTGGACTTTGAAGCTGCTTTTTAGACTGGCCAACTTTCTAGAAGAAACTTCCAGATGTTTGTAGAACTTACAACCAAGACTCTTCTGCTTGGGTCCATGGCAGAACAATGGTTCAGTAGCCCTTGTCACACCCTTGGGACTCTCCAGAGAGGGGAACAGGCACATTCTTGAACCTCCCACATCTTGTCTGAGTAAAATGTATGTGTACATGTGTGTACATACAAGGCTTTCCTGCACACACACACACACACACACACACACACAGGCAAGTTTCAGGGTAAAAGCAGCTATGTTGTATGTCAGGAAGGGGCCTTACTCCTTAAAAGCTTTCAGACGGAAAAAGACAGACTTTCCGTGTCCTCTTCCTGTTGCCAGCAGCCCTTCCCTAGAGGAAACTGGTTTTGTTTTAATGTCATTGAAAGCTCAGAGGATCTGCTCCCAATTAAAGGACTTTGCTTGCAGATGATTTTGTGAGCAGGCAATTCCGATTGGGACTCACAGACTCATCCTCTGGGCTGCCTTCCTGGGACCAGAGGCAGGGGGAAGACAGACAGGCAGAAGGATGGACAGACAGACACAGACCATGATGGCTGGGGATAGGACAGAGGGGAGTGAGAATCACCAATCCCCAGGGTAGAGGACCCCAGGCCTTCACATGCAAGGTGTGGGAGGTCGTGGGGCGGGTGCCAATGGAAGGTGGCCTAGAAAGGACCACGTACAGCATGGAGGACTTGGAAATAAAGGTTCTACTTGGCCCACATGGCTGGTGGAGGCCGCAGAGCCATGGTGTGGTGAGGACCACTGGCTTCTCATCTTCCGTCCCTGCCGGAAATTCCAATTGATTCCTCCTCCAAAACGTGGGCTCAACTTGACTTGGAAATCTGGGCTGCCCCTTTAGGTGGGCCTCAGGCAGAGGACAGAGGGCTGGGCAGAAATTGAGGCTTGAGACTTGACTGGGGAGGCAGGGAGTAGGCGAAGTGGATCACCTCCTCCCCCAACCTGGCCCTCCAATTGGGCACGTTTATGTTCCAGTTCTGGCGCCCGCGTCTCCAGCTCCAGACGCATGTGACTCAGCCCTGTTAGCCTTGCCAAGCCGTCTAGACCCAAGAGTCTCCCTGCGGAGGGGGGGGCAGTGTTCGTGCAGGCCGCTGGTTTCCCTTTTCTTCCATTGCCTTGGCTAAGCCTCGTGCCTGTGCAGCCATGCATCTCTACGCATTCCAGGTAGCGCGTGACTCTGAGACTTCAGCAAATGGAGTGTGGGGCTTGGGGAGAGTGCCTAAATGCAATGGACCCCGTCCCACGTGCATGTAGACTAAGGAAGACCTCAGACCTTGCCTTCTCTTTGCCTCCATGCCTGTTTCTACATTCCCAGCTGCCCATCCAGCCCACAGGCCAGGCCCCGTCCATGTCTAGCAAAGGCTACCACAGACCCTAGGGACCTTCATTGGCCCTGGGAGCAGGCTGGGGTAGCATGGGGTCCATGAACTCAGATCAGTTCCCAGCCTCACTTCTTTACTCTGCCTCATTTCTCCCCTGAACGACTTGCTTCTTCACATTCATGATAAGCTGCCCGTCACGTAGCTGAACTGTTTCCCTAAAATAGCACACACAAATACACATACACACACACCTTTTCTTCAAGAGCACGTATTTGGTGTTCACTGCCCATACTGGGGAGCATCAGGGACAGACAAGTTGTTCAGAGTTATTTGGGGCTTTGGCCCCCAAAGGCTGTCTGGGCCCCCATTGCCTGCTGGCTCTGGGTAGCTACAGGTACAGAAGCTCCTCCTCAGGTGGAACCCTGACCCTTACAGGTGTCGGGAAGTCGATCTGTTCTCTCCTCCTCAGCAGAAACGGAAAGCCTTGGACTCCAACCTCCTTTGACCAGGGCTGACCCACTGGGGATCCTGGCTGGTTCCCATTGCAACAGCCTAGTGCTCTGAGGCAAAGAGGCCAACGTCATGAGCACAACTACTCCGCCATACATTCCTGAGCTATTTGTACAGATGGAGGGGACTCACATGTCTCCGCAGCCCTCTAGCTCATCCCTGGCATGGCGGGGCCAGTGCCTGGCCACTGCTCTTATTTCCCAGCCTATTTGCCAAGCGTTGATATGTGGCTAAGACCCTGCTGGGACCCATGGCCAAGTTTTCCTAACAATCAAGACGTTGGTTCTCACTACTTCTGATAGCCAGTTCTGCTCAAGGCCCCATGGCCTCCCCTACAAACTCTCTTGGAGGTTGTAGGGTCCCAAAGTCTCCCAAAACAGGCCCTTAACTTACTCAGGCCTCTCACTAGGTAGAAATGCCCTTAAAAATCCACCCATTCCACTGTAGGAGTATATCCCTCCCCATTCCCACCCACCTCTCCAGGCTTGCACACCTTCCAAGACAGGGAACTCCCTCCCTTTCCAGGCATCCAGCTGGTGTTTAGATAGTACTTTCCAGAAAAAGTACTTCCTTGTGTTGGACTCAAGTCTATGTTTCCAGAAGTTTATCCCTGGGCCCCTTCTCCTCCCTTCCTGAGAGGCCCATCACCCTCTCTGTTCCCGCAGCAGCCTTCATAGCCTTTCCACTGAAAGATGCCACATCCTCTCCATGTGCCGCTCTATGACCTCTCCAGCTGGTTTGCACCCTTCAAGGCCTCACTGGGACCTCTGTGTCCTACCCAGGGCCACAGACTGAGCTGCTCACTTGAGACAGGCCTGCTTACTGTTCTGACTCCTTGGAACTGGGTGGAGAAGGGCGGGTGGGGGGGGGCTTTCTCCCAGAATACACAGGGGCTGATTTCTTCCCTATTCCTCAGGAGTAAAGGAGATGGGGAGTATCGGGGAGGGGGAAGTAGCCACATTGCCGTGGTTTCTCCCACCAAATTCCCCAGTCCTCGGAAAGATCCACAAGAAAAACCCACAAGAATTTGAATGTCTGGGCTGAGGCCATGACTGAAATGAAATTTTCTAAAAAAGAAAGAAGAAAAGCAACAACAGAAAGGGAAGGAGGAAAAGAGTAGAAGTTAAAAAAAAAAACATCCTCCCAAATCAACAAGTCAAAGCTCTTTACAACCCTTCTCTTCCAAAAAGGACCTAAGACAACAAACAGAGGGTGAAAAGGGGTCTTAAGATGCTTCACTGGGGGCTTGGGCCCTGGGCTAGGGCTGCTGACCTTTTTTTTCCTCCAGCTTTCTTTAACTCAAGTGTGGAGGCTCCGTGACCTCAGAAGAGCTCGAAATTCCAAGTCATTCACTCCAGATTGAGTTTCTACCCCTCCAGCTAGGCTTGGGTCAGGGCCTCTCTTCCTATCAGCCCCAGGCTCCTTCCTACTCTCTCCTTCCTGGACTATAGTTGCTTTCTAGCACATTCATGATGCTTTCGATCTCTTGAACTTGATCTCTCAATTCCCTCCTCCAGGAGATATCAGGGTAGTGCACACATGAGGGTCAGATTCTGTCCAGCTCCAATCAGCTGTTCAAACAGCAAGTGCCAGGGTTGAGGGTCAGCAACCCGGGCTTTGGAGTTTCATAAAGGATACACAAACTTCACTCCTCATTCATTGACTTTGAGAGATCTGGGAGGTGCAGGAACATCTGTAAGTGGACAGAGCAGGCATGAACTACATGAATATCCATGAAGGCCAAAGGCAGGCTAGGAGAATGGGGCTCCAGGGCAGGGCGGGGGGAGCAGGACCTAGCACAATAATATTAATATTTGCATGGTGCTTTTTACCTAGGAGGTATTATCGTAGGCATTTCATAGGAATTTCAGGCCATGCCATCCTCGTCAGCAAATCATCCCAGTTGGGTAAAGACAACAAAGTGCAGAGAGGTTAAGTTACTGGCCCAAATTTACACAGCTAGTTAAGTGGTAGCGCCAGATTTAAACTTAAGAAATTACCCTCTAACTCTACCGCGAACGAGGGAACCAGGAGATTAAGCCTGGCACTGGAAGAGGACCACTGAAGTCCCAGGTCTCTTTCAGAATCCCAGGCTCCTTTCGTTCTTGTGGGTGGGGATCAGATGCAGCCAGGAAGAGACCAACTAAGGCTGGAGCGCCCTCTTCCGGAGGAATCTATCTCCTAGGAGACCCGAGCCGTAACGGTCTGCTGGACCGGCGACAGCTAGGGTCCAACTTCAGCCCTTCCGTTTTCCCCGCCTCCAGCTCCACCCCCTTGCCACGGTCCGCCCCCAGGGTGGTGCGTGCGCAGGCCGCCGGCCGGGCCGCAACCCAATGGGAAGACTCGGTGCGGAAGTGGGTGAGGCCTCTCCGGCCCGCTGAGTGGTTCCCACCCGCAGGGGCGGGAAGAGTGTGATTGGCACCCAGTCCGGCTGGTGGAGCCGGGAATGTGGGCCGGGCTCGGCTCTGAGCGCGAAACATGGCGGGGCTGGGCGCTGTCGCCGGCTGCAGCTCTGACTACGATTTCTACGAAAACGAGGATGACAACCTCGTGTTCAAGGAGGCTGTGGAGGTGTTCAAGAAGCTGAAGGTGCCATGGGTCTGGGGAGCTACCTAGCCCGGAGGGGCTGGGCAGTGTCTTTACTTGGATTTGGCGGCGCCAAAGTGCCACTGTCGTGGGTCCCGGTGCGCCTCGTTCTCCTACAGTAACGGGCTGTTTGTAACGGGCTGCTTGTGAAGCATCTGTTTTTGTTCTTTGGGGTTCCCCGGGCCTCCACTGTCGCTGTCTCTACTGCAGTGTCTAGTAAGTAATTGGGGCTAATGCTGGGCACAAAACTCCAGATTGTGCTTCCCAGGCACATTGGGCGAAACGCTTGCCACCCTGTGAAGCCAAAGACAGGAGCTCTGCCTCAGATGATAAGGAAACTGGTCATCTGAAGGAAGAAAAATATCCCCCGCTTTCCCGCCACTCTTTCTCAGCCTGCACCTAACTCTAAAGGTCCACCCATCGTTAGGCATAGCTCCTAGTCCTGCTGCCACTGGATGGATCCCACAGGGGCGTGGAAAACACAAGGGGGGGGTGCTTTGGGCTGCCACCTTGTTTGGGATGGGGGAAGGTTGGTACAGAAAGGTGTCCTGTCTAAGTCTGGCAGAAGGGCATTGCCACCCTGCAGTGACTGGCTTCCTAAAGCTTCCTACTTGCCTTTTCTTTGCATAGGGCTTAAAGTGCCCCTTCCTGGAGGGTCTGTATATCTCTGAGCCAAAGACAATCTATGAACTCCTGTGTCAGCCTTCGAAGTATCGGCTGGAGATCCTAGAGTGGATGTGTATACGGTAACACCCTGATTTCGTCGTCCTATTGTGGGATGTCCACAGCACTACCAGACCACCTCAGAAGATGAGTGTGTTTACCCCTAGAGGGTTCTGTAATACATCCAGCCCACTATGATAAACAGTTGGTTACTTAAAAGCACTGGCTAGAGAGCTAGGCTCAAAATGAGGGTGAAGTGGCCCCTAGCAGTGTTGGGTTTGCTCCACCTACCATTTTGTGGAGACATAGGTCTTGAGTGTTTTCTTAACTTGATACATTTGGAGCTGCATCACTGATTGGGACCTGAGAAATACTCCATTTCAGTGTTTTCTTACAAAGGAGTGGAATAAGGTCAGCTGGAATCCTCCTGAGCTGCCTGAGGCCTTGTGGTAGAAGGGATTGTCAGGGACAGGGTACTGGGCTTCCTGCCTGGGTCTAGGCTCACAAGGCAGCCCTTATGCAGCACTAGCTGATGCCAGTGCACCTGAATCAAAGTGTGCCCAGAGGCCAAGGCAAAGCACCAAAATGTCCCACAGAAGTGCTTGCTCCTTGGAACTACCATACCCAAGTTACTCATTCTCCCCATGGTGGGATAGCCCCAGGAGCTGAGCATCTGCCTGCAAGCTGCAGATACTGAAGGCTTTCTCCAGCCTCCCTGGGAAACAGGCTTTGTTCTTATTCAGCATGGACCTTGGCATCCTCTCTGTAATGGCTGTCGTCTGGGTTGTCTGTTGGTATTGGAGACTCTTGAAAAGTCAGACATAGGTTTGCCATCCTCGGCAAGCTTGAGCTCTGAGAGGTGAAAGCCCAGAAAAACAATAGTATCAGATCTCTGTGGGTTAGTAGGTGGCTAGTATGGCTGCAGGGTTTCCTGGCAGGTCTTTTGGCCCAGACCAAGTAGGAATAAGCCCCGGGTAACTGTTATTTACCTCTCTGTACAGCAGGTTCCTACCCAGACATTTGCATTTCAGTATTCACATTCATGTTTCCATGGTAACTTTTCTGAAGTATGCTGTTGGTGGTGAAATTCATAGGCTCTTAAATTAACCATTTTAAGGCGAAACTTAGGTGACAATTTGGCATACATGTAAGCAATGTACTTGGTTGTGTGTGAGTGTAGAGTGCTCCTTTGAGCCTGATTGACTTTGCTATTTCCCTTTAGGGCCTGTCCATCCTTGCTTGACAAGTTCAACCCCCTGAAGAGCATCCCAGTGGAAGTGAAGATCCAAGGTGGGTCTCCTTTATGGGAGTCTGGAATTTGGTGGTAAATTATGAACATGGTCACAGCCTTCTTTACCAAGTTATAAATTACCCATTGGACTGATACTTTCTTCTTTTGAAATTTGTTTTGGTTGGTTGGTTACACAGCTTGAACTCAGAGCCTTGGTGCGTAAGGCTAGTGTTCTTTCCACTTTGAGCCACAGTGCCACTTCTGGTTATCTGGTGGTTAATTGGAGATAAGAGTCTCATGGACTTTCCTGCCCAGGCTGGGTTTGAACCATGATCCTCAGATCTCAGCCTCCTGAGTAGCTAGGATTACAGGTGTGAACCATGAGTGCCCGGCTGATGTTTTCTGAATAGGGTATGCCCTGTGGATTTTTCTAGAGCCTTCGAGAATCAGGGTTTCCTTAGGCATGGCAGGTGGTAGACCTCTTCTCACAGTGACCAACAATGTAGTGGTCAAGCACAGCACTGGGAGTTAAAGACGGTGATACTTGCTGATGCCACAGTGGTTTGTTGCCCTCTCTCAGTCGTGTTGTGTGTATATATGTGGCATTTCTAGAAGTACTCCAGTTGCCCCCTAATGGCATTTGTCTGGTAGCCACTTTTACCCATTTCTTGTCAGCAACTCTCCTTAATCTGGTAAAAAAATGAATGAGTCACTGGGTAAGTTTTTACATTTGTAGAATTTCAAAGGCTGAATTTCCCATGGGCCTGGCTTGTTCCCACCAATGGAGGGGGCATGAACTGGACTCTGGCACCCTGCAACACATACCAGGTGTCTGCAGATTAAGTATCTAGGGACAAGTTGTCCCTGTGATTGAAGTGCAGTATTGTGTCTTAAAGCAGCAGCCTGTGCTCTAACCTGTTATGGATGCCCCTGTGTTTGCTACTGGCAGGACCATCTAAGGCTCTGACAGCTTGCCTGAGGCCTCTAATGCACACATATGCTAACTCTGGCCCTCAGGATGGTCCTGCCTTGCCACAGCCTGTTTCATTTCTAACAAACTGGGAGTGGGGGGGTGAACACCTCAGCCTTGCCTCCCTTCCCTTCCCTTAATGAGTATAAGTAAGTATAAGTAAGAAGGACTAGGGCAGGTAGAGCTCAGGAGAGTTCTTGGCTTCATCAGACATTCAGGGCTGTGTTTCAGATGCTGGTGCCACAGCAGTGCACTGTGCTGCCTGCATGGAACTGTTAGCACGGATCATGTTACATGATGAATGAGGCAGTTGGCCGAAAGTATAGAAGGCTATAAGAGTATACAGAATGAGGAGATAGAAGTGCAGTAAACAGCCAGGTAAGGGCAAGATGGTGCCCAGAGGTTGGAAGAAGAGTGGCCCCATTGAAAGAAATGGCAGGAAGAGAGGAGCAAAGCCTGGCTGATAGTAGGAGTAGTATGAATTATATACAGGGCGCTGGAACAACAACTGCAAAGGGTCTGCAGTGGGCTTGTGTTTGACAGCTTTGAATAAGAGTGAGGAGGCATATGTGCCTGAAATGGAGGACAGAAGGGGTGGAAGATGGTAAGAATGGATGGGTCCACATTGGGTTGGGCCTGGTGGACTATTGGCTTTTACTCCAAGGAAGGCTGTGGTCCTGTGTTTGGTTTATCAGTCTCCCTGAGGCCACCGTGGTGAGAGTAGGAGCACCCTGACTAAGCGAGGGAGATCAGCATTGTGCTTTTGCAGTAACTGTCTCAGTGAGAGATGGGGAGAATGTGGAGATGCAGTGCTGGCTTGATCCTGGATTTCTAGTGAAGGGAAGGCTGGCTGGACTTGTTGGAAAGAAAAGAGGGTCACAGGGACATGAGGTTAAGGGCTATGGGTAGTGCAGTCTTGCTTGAGGGGCATAGTGGATATTTATAGAGTGTTTTCATTGTTCCTGGGTGCTTTCACCTTGGCACGCTTCCTACTTTCTCCAATGGGCTCTCCAAAGCACATGGGTGCAGAGTTCTGTCTGTCCTGCTATGTATGCGTTGTGGTAATGGGTTGGGGGGGGAGAAGAGAGGGAGATGAGCATGGCCTATGAAGGGTGAGGGCATTGCCACAGGCTAAGTGGTGAGCTTAGGGATGGCCTTATACCCAGAGATTACTCAGAGGATTCCCTGGGCACCCTGGAAGATGTGGCTGGATATGATCCTATGCAGGGGCTCAGGCTTCCTGCCTGTAAATATAGCACCGACTTGCCTCTTACGGTTGCCAGTAAGATAATAGAGGAGGAAGACATGAAAGGCCTTTGGGACAGGGACAAACATGAGCTGTGATTCCTTTTGCTTTGCTCTCTTAAGAGAATACACATGGCTCCTTATGGAGGTACCTTGACCTCTACCAGTTCCTCAGGAAGCCACTGTTAGAGAGTCCCATGTATACAGATGCATGGTGGGTAACTCCTTATTTTCAGCCAGGGAAACTGGCACCCAGAAAGTTAGCAGTGACCAAGTGTAGGTCACACAGCAAGAGGTAGCCCAGGCACTAAGATGAGTCTTCTACCTGCCTCTTTGTCTACCTGGTCTTCTGTGCCCAGCGTGGCCTTGTGGGTGCTGAGCTATGGATGTGTGGCAGTCTCAGCACCCTGTGGGCATCTGGCATCCTCTGAATGGGTGTCTATAGTAACAGGATCTTTGTGTTCCAACAGAGATGGTGAAACTAGGCCATGAGCTGATGCTGTGTGCAGCAGATGACCATGAGCTTCTCAGGGTAAGAGAACCATATGCATGCTTTCTTCCCTGAGCTGGTGTGGGGAAAGGAGGGCCTTCTGTGACCAGTGCCTTTAAGGCTCCTCAGACCCAAGAGCTGGCTGGGTGCATAGGAAGTCTGGTTCTCTAGACCTTGATTTGGCAGGCACTGCTAGGAATCCTTTGTGTAGATGAACTCTACCCATGACTTGGAATGGGTGAGGGCAGTATGGGGCATAGAGGTAGATCTGTGGCTCATGACACAGATGCATTCAGTCCTCTCTTGGTGATACCATACTTGCCTGGTACTATGCTAGATACTTTGCATGTGAGTAATGATCATACCCACCCTTGGCAGTGTGTGTCTTAGCCCCTATTTCAAAGGACAATGCCAGCTTACTTGAGGTGGCAGAGACATGTCTTAATCCCATGCCCCTGAGTTCCAAGCTCATACACCTTCTCCTGAATGCCACCCTCCCATCTGAGGGTTTTGTACAGAGGTGCCCCTATCCACCCACTACCATTTGCTGCCCTTAAAATGAATAAATTTGGGGAGCAATTGTTTCTATTTTTGACTATTATGGATAATGTGGAGGTGACATTCTTATGTCTTTTATTACATATATTCTTTTTGATATATATATAGAGAGAGAGAGAGAGAGAAAGAGAGAGAATTAAAGAATTACTGAGTTATATGGTAGCTGTATGTTTTTGTTTTTTTGTTTTTTTTTTGTCATGGGGCTTTTTTTTTTGAAGAGCTACGGAACTGTTTTTCTAACATGGCCGTAGTTGATTGTGCTATTGCATTCGTCCAGTGGGGTGTTTTTGTTGTTCCGTTTTAACTAAATAATCATAATGTTTCAGAGCAAGGTTCTGGCCCAGTTTGAGCAGCAAGGACAGAGCATTCTCATGTACTCCCTAACCCCCACATCTGTACCAGCCCTCACTATCAGCATTTTGTATCCTAGCAAGTCTCATGTTTGTTACAATGAATGAACACACATTGAAACATATAGCAGGTTTTCATTTGGGTTATTGTTTTTCTGTTCTCAAAGTTGCTACATGGTTTGATTTTTTTTTGATAATGTTTTCAACCGTGTTTAGTGCTCACGGTTGCTTATTCGAGCATTTAAAAAAATAATGGCTGCTTTCAAATATTGGTCAGATCATTCTAACATCTGTAAGGTCATCACTGGCATTGTCTTTTCTCATGCAAATGGAGATTTTCATGGTGGCCATGTGTTCTAGGAGGCACTTGACCCAGCAGGTTTAAGGCACAAGGTTCCTACCATGCTCTGAGTCCTGAGCCCCTACACGGGCTTAGAATTTACGGTTGGTTGAAGGCATCAAGGTCAGATTCAGCCATGCATAGGTGGGACTGAACTCAGGCATCCAAAAGCATTTGTGGAATCACTCTGTGCCATCTCTGGTACTTTTTAATTCCTTCTCTGGCATTTTCTACCCTGCGGCCATAAGCCACCCACTTCCATGACCAGGGAAAACAGGACACCAGGGAAAATAGAAAGAAAATAACAAGAGGGTTGGCCCTAGGAAGTTGTTGCTACAGCTGCCTGAGTGGATAGGAGACTCTTTTCCTTCAGAATAACTTACCCTCCTGCTTTTTTGTTGCTATTACCCCCCCCAAAAAACAAAGAAAAAAACTTCCTGCCATTAACACCATATTGCCTGTGGCTAGGGGACTCTCTCCTCCCTGAGCTTTATAGATCTCTTCTGTGCTCCTTGAGGCTGTATCCTGGAGCCCCCTCAGTCTGCCCTAGCACTCCTTTCTGGGGATTCCATCTAGGCTGTGTTCAGGTCAGCAGAGACTGGAGGAAGAAACATGGTGGGCTTACTGCCATGCTGAATGATCTCATTAGATTCTGGTATGCTTCCTTGATCTGACCTGCCTCATGCCTGTGGTTCATCTCTGGGAGGTAGGTCTTTAGTGGGAGAAAAAGATAGCATGTGGTCCCCCCATTTTACCCACAGCCAAAACCCTTCCCTTCTTACACTTCACATAGTTTTTGTTGTAAAATGAACTTAATATAAATGCTACAAATTTTCAAGAATTTTCCAGCAGACTGAGAGAAGGCTTTACTCACTTTCTAAAAAACTGACACACACAAGATAACATTTGCCATCTTCACTCTAGTGTGTGTGTATGTGTGTGTAAGTGTATACATGTACGTAAGTAGGTATACTGGTACTGGTGTTTGAGCTTGGGGCTTCTCATTCTCTTTTTTTTTGCTCAAGGCTGGCATTCTGCCAACTCAGCCAGGTCTCTATTTCATTTCTGGCTTTTTTGTTAATTAGAGATGAGTGTCAAATTTGTCTGCCTAGCAATCCTCAGAGTTCAGCCTCCTGAGTAGGTAGGATTATAGGCATGAGCCATGGTTCCTAGCTCCATCTTGAGCAGGTTTTTGTTTGTTTGTTTGTTTTTTGGTGCCAGTCCTGGTGCTTGAACTCTGCGCTTCTCATTCTCTCTGAGCTTTTGTGTTCAAGGTTAGTACTTTGTCACTTGAGCCACAGCTCCACTTCTGCCTTTTTTTGGTGTTTAATTAGAGATAAAGAGTCTCACTGACTTTCCTGCCTTTGCTGGCTTTGAACCATGACCCTCAGATCTTAGCCACCTGAATAGCTAGGATTATATGTAAATCACTGGCACCATTTTTTTTTTGGTGGTCATGGGGCTTGAACTCTGGGCCTGGGTGCTGTCCCTGAGCTCTTCAGCTCAAGGTGAGCGCTCTACCACTTGAGCCACAGCACCACTTTTTTCCCCTGATGGTTAATTGGAGATAAGAGTCTCAAAAACTTTCCTGCCTGGGCTGGCTATGAATAGCAATCCTCAAAGCTCAGCCTTCTGAGTAGCTAGTATTATAGGCGTGAGCTACCAGTGCCCAGCTTCATCTTGACCATTTTAAAGTATATAGTCCAGTGGTGGTAAACAATTCACCAGTGACGTTAAAAAATTCACCTTGTGATGTCATTGCTACCATCTGTCTCTAGAATTTATCCTCCCAAGCTGAAATTTGGGGTTCAATTTTTAAACCATTTTGAAGTATTCATTGCATTCTTTTAATACCATGCTGTTGTTTAAATAAGAATATTAAGTAATTAGCTTTAGATTTTCTCATTGTTTTTCCCTAAGTTCCTGCTGGGTTTTATATTCCAATGGTCAATGTACTTCCAGTGAGATGTAAACATATTCTCTTTGGAAATATTAATTTCTTGAGATCTTATTTCTTGTTACTTGAATACTATAGCTGTCATATATCTCTGGCTCTAATTCTAGATGCACACTTCTAATTCATGTACCTGTACGTGTGACCTTTGTGAGCAGCAATCTGCATGTATAATATGTGTTTACTTCGAACTGGTTATATACTGCTCAAATCTGTAGATTCAGGTTGCTGAAGTGACTACCAGTTTTTAAAAATCTTTTTAAAAAAGTATACAATGCAGTGGCATTTAGAACATTCACAATATTACACAACTATTGCCTTTAACTAGGTCCAAGATATTTTTATTCCCTTGCCAGGCAGCCCACTGATGTTAGTCACTTCCATTCCTAAAGGGCCCTGATGACTATTCACTTTACTCTCTGTCTCTGTGCCACTAAGACAGAATTCTACACTCCGTGGTCCTGTGTGATTGGCTTCCTATCTGAGCACAGTGTTTTTGAAGTTTGACAATGTGGCAGCAGTGTGTCAGGACTTCATTCCTGATGTAATCCTCATGCCTCTACCTCCTGAGTGCTAGAATTAAAAGTGTGTGCTACCATGCTTGCCTTTAATATATGTTAGCTTAAAAATATGTGTGCACTTCTTTGTCTTGTCTTCTGACAAGGAAAGACAAAGAACAATGATGCCTCAGTTGTAATATGGGGCTGGGGAAGAAATGTACCAATTGGGCCAGGAACATCTTATCGTAGCGGGAAGGCAGATAGTTCTCCAAGGCTTCAGTGGGAGCTGAGAAACTACAGAATCAGCTCTCCTCACCAAAGTTAGGTCCATGTGACCACTGTGAGCACAATGGCTACTGTAGATTGTTACTCTTCATATCTACTTTAACAAGACTTCATAAGGCTGTCTTTGTTGTTGTGATACTATGTTTGACTTCAGAGCTTTGTACTTGCTAGGGAGGCTCTGTATCATTTGAGTCATTCCTCCACCCCATAATGATACTTGAAGTGTGGTGGTATTTGCTTGCTATCCCTGCACATTGGAGGCTGGGGCAGGAAGATGGGCCAATTCAACGCTAGCCTGAGTTCTGCAGTTCAGTCCCTGTCTTACATAAAATAAAACAACAGAAATGAAGAGTCATTATTTGACACTAAGAACATATGCAATAAAAAAAGAGGTGGTCAGTGGTACTTAATTAAAATTAAACACTTGGTGCATCAAAGGACACCTGGCAAGTGAAGGGACGACCCTCAGAATAGAAGAAAAAACTTGTAAAGCATGGGTCTAATAAGAGACGTCTATCCAGAATTTATAAAGAACACAAACTCCATAACCAAGGAACTCAGTCCAAAAATGGGCAAGGATCTGAATAGACACTTCTTCATAGGAAATGAAATAGACACTTCTTCATAGGAAATGTACCCATGATCAGTAAGCTCACGGAAACATGCTTAGCACGTCTGATTATAAGAGCAGTGCAAATCAGAAACACTTCACACACAAGGATTTCTCACATCAACAGGGAAATTAATGAGTGTTGGACAGCATGAGAATGTATTGGATCCCTCACACAGTTCTGGTGAGGAGAAGAGATGGTGTAGACACTGGAAGCCAGTTTGGCAGTTTCTTGAAAGGTTAAACACAGCAAGCATATGGCCTGCCAATTCTACTTCTAGGTATGGACTGAAGAGTATTAAAAATGCATACACATGAAAACTGACACATGAATGTTCATCGATGTGTTGTCATAGTAGCCAAATGTGGAACTACTCTAGGTGTCTCTCAACTGGTGAATAAATGAAGTATTTTTTAATAATGAAGCAGAAATTAGTGGTATATGCTACAACATAGGACACCCTTGAGAATATTTAGAGAAAAGAGTCAGACATAAACATTTACATATATGATCTACATGTAGGGAATTTTCAGAAGAGGCAAATCCACATAGAGCTGAGTGCTTGTAGCTCACATGCATAATCATAGCTACTTAGGAGGCTGAGATCTGTTTTTTTTTTCTTTTTGAGTCCGGTCGTGGGGCCTGAACTCTGGGCGTGGGCACTGTCCCTCAGCTCTTCAGCTCAAGGCTAGCGCTTTACCACTTGAGCCACAGCATCACTTCCAGCTTTTTTCTTTTTGTTTATATGGTGCTGAGGAATTGAACCCAGGGCCTCAGGCATGCAAGGCAAGCGCTCTACCACTGAGCCACCTTCCCAGCCCAAGGAGGCTGAGATCTGGAAGCTTACAGTTTGAAATCAGCCCAGGTATCAAAGTTCACAAGACTCCATCTCCAAAATAACCAGCAGCAACAACAGCGACAAACCAAACCAGGGCTGGAGATAAGATGAAGTGTGGATTAAGTGGTATAGCACCAGCCTAAACCTCAGTACCCCTCCCCCCACAAAAAACTGTTACTTGCTATGTTGGGGATGGGACTGCTAGTGAGTCTGGAGTTTGCTTTTGGGGTGCTAGCCAAAATGTAACTGTTGTGATGACTAGACAACTCTGAATATCCGAACAACCTTGGACCTGTACACATTTTGGTGAATTTCATGATTTGTGAATTATAGCTCAACCGCAGTGTAGCCGAATGAAATGAGAAGATCTGGGAGAGCATCAAGTGAAAAGAAATGGGGTGGTATGGGCTTATGTGTTGAGGGAACTTCCAGTAGGCTGGTTATACTGAACCATCCTGTAGGGGTAGGGCAAGGGTAGATTACACAGGCTTTTGTAGGCCTGGAGGCCCCAGTGGAGGACCAGCAATTTCCATGAAGTATTGCACTGACAGTTATGTATGGTAAGGCTTAGAGGTTGGATGGGGCAGGGGTGGCTGATGAGAGACGTTCACAGGCTGCAGCAATGCCCAGGCACGGGCGGCAGCTGCATGAGCGGTGGTGGTAGTGAAGAAAATGAGGGCATGGCTGGATTCAGTCATGTCCCCTGTATTTGCTGATGGCTATGGTGGGGTAGGAAAAGAGGTGGGTGTCCTGGTGCTCAGCAATGTCTGAGGTTCTATGGATTCATTCTACAGATGTTTCCAGGGTATCTATTGGCTCTGAGCCTTTTCTAGAGAGCAGAGAGGAGACATAGGGGCTTCAGCGAGGTGGTGCACACCAGCCGGGGGCTAGCCCAGAAGGCCTAGGGAGGGCCTTTGAGTCTTACAGGGGCTAAGCCTTGTCTACCCACAAGAGATGTAGAGGGCCAGGCCTGTGGCTTTGGAGAGCCCACAGAGAGACATAGGCCTAGCCTACCCGGGGGAGGCAGCCACAGCCTGACCTCAGCAAGCTGGCATCCATCCCCTTCCTGGACGTTTGCAGTGTGGTGGCTGGAGCCATTTCCCCACTCAGCAAGGGGATGGTATGGGATGGTTACAGTCTCATGCATTCGTCAAAGCCTGCAGGGCTCTGAATGCTAGTCACTCTTGTGTTACTCCCTGGGCGGACTTCTATGTAGATAGTGTATCCCACCTCAACTCCAGTGATGCCCTGCCGTTATGTCCCTTCTATAAGGGGAGACTATTCACAGGAGGGGAGTGAAAAGGTCCCAGAAGCCATTGGCAGGCTGAGGATGTGGTGGTGAAAGCTTCCAGAAGCTTCTGTTCGTGTTGAGTTGATTGCATAGGTGGGAGCAGGCTTTCTGGGAGTGGCAGGCAGTATCCAACAACAGGGAGTTGTACTGTTCCCAGGGTCTCCTCCTCACCAGGGACTGCTTGGTTCTTTCTGCTAAGCCCATGCAGTCAGTATCAGCATTTAGTATCACTGTGTTTGCAGGGTGTTCTAGCAAGTTGCTAGTGATGAGCAGCACCATGTGCCAAGTCAGAAGAGGTAGAGAAGCAAACTGATAGGCCCAGCTTTCTCCTGTTCCCGCCCACTCTGGCTTTCTGGGGGAGGGCGTGGCCTCTTAGATGATAACTTTGGTCCGGAGAGTCAGTGGCTTGCCAGAAGGCAGCATGAGCTCCGGACAAGGAAGCTCCGCAGAAGAACCTCAGCCATTTTCTTCTGAGCAGCAGGTAGGAGATCAGACCTTAGAAGCCTGGGCCTTCCCAAGTATACCTCCACTTCTCTTCTGAAGCAAAGGCCACTTCGAGATGCCTTTATGCTGCTGTTCTGTAGCTTCTACTAGTGCTAGTTGGTCAGCTGATGTACTGAGAACAGTTGTTACCCTGGAGTTGTCCTTGAGGAAAGGGCCACAGGTCCATCCTCGCAGGTGGTGTTCTGCCTTTGCAGGCACCGCTACAACCCCACACTCTCCATTCCATGGCCGGAGCCCTGCAATGGTGGCATTTTCCAGTTTCCAGAGTGTGGTCCCAGGCACTGCAAGCTCCAGGTAGAGGCTAAGCAGGGAGCCTTTTCTAGCATCCGCTCCTGAGTTCTGGGCCCCTTTAAGAGAGTGCTAGATAGGCAGAGATGCGGAACTGACAGCCGCCCCCCCCAGGGGCATCCTGGGAGTAGGGCACCCAAAACAGTTGGCCTAGGCCAGGCTTATGTCTGCGTTGAGCCAGCAAATGTGTCTGAACTTCTCTTCCAGGGATCTGCCTGTGCTCAGAAGCAACTGCATTTCATGGACCAATTGCTGGACATAGTGCAGAGCCTGGATGCCGGGTACTCTAGCAGCTCAAGGTAAAAACTCCAGCGGCCCAGCTGGGAACCCTTGAGGGGTGGTTTTGGTCTTGGATATGGAACTGATGGGAGTCAGGATATACCAGCTGGGGTCTTTGTCCCCCTTGGTGGCAGTAGCCACACATTGGTCCAGGAGCTGAAGGTACAAACTGAGACAAGACCCTTGCTTGGAGGAGTCAGCTGGCTGCTCAGGGACTAGGCAGTGGACAAGAAAGGGATGCTTGCATCCCCAGGATGCTGGGTGGTTGTCTGGGGGTGCTCTGGGTCCTAGAGAAGACATTTGAGGTGTGTTGGAAGATGGCGAGTATTGGGTTGCCCTGCAAGACCAATAGGCTTCTCAGGGAGGCCAAAGCAGGCAGAGGCGGGGAGATTAGCCACGTAGTGCAGTTCTTTCTCCCCCTTCTTTCCCACTTTTTTTGTTGTTGTTGTTGGTCATGGGGCTTGAACTTGGGCCTGAGCGCTGTCCCTCAGCTCTTCAACTCAAGGTGAGTGCTCTACTACTTGAGCCATAGTACCACTTCTGGTTTTCTAGTGGTTTATTGGAGATAAGAATTTTATGGCGCCGGGCACTGGTGGCTCATGCCTATAATCCTAGCTATTCAGGAGGCTGAGATCTGAGGATTGCGGTTCAAAGCCAGCACAGGCAGGAAAGTCTGTGACACTCTTGTCTTCAATTAACCACCAGAAAACCAGAAGTGGTGCTGTGGCTCAAGTGGTAGAGCGCTCGGCTTGAGCTGAAGCACTGAGGGACAGTGCCCAGGCCCAGAGTTTAAGCCCCATGACTGACCAAAAAAAAAAAAAAAAAAGAATTTCACAGCCTTTCCTGCCAGGCTGGCTTTGAACCATGATCCTTAGATCTCAGCCTCCTGAGTAGCTAGGATTATAGGCCTGAGCCACCGGCGCCTGGCTCTTTCCCACTCTTTAGTCTGGTTCCTTTCTGTGTCTTAAGTCTTCCGTACATTGCTGGTGTTCCAGCAAGTGATGGTAAGACTTGGGGCCTGCTTTGCAGCCCAAAGGAGAACCTGGAGGATACCACGGAGAAGAGTGAGGCAATGCTGGAGGAGATGTTCTCCTCCCCAAACCTGCCAGCGCTTCTGAATCCGGACTGTGACCCGTGGCCCATGGACATTCAGCCTGTTCTCGACCAGCAGAATGATGATTGGCAAATGTAGGTGTATGGGAAGAGTCTTTCCCCAGCTCTAACCCTGCTTGGTTCTGTCACCTAAGGGAGTCCCCGGTGGAGTGCACCACTGGGTGGCAGGAGAGAGCTTGAGGCGACTGCCCTCCACACTTGTCTTCCTGCAGGGCCAGCCCCTCTGACAAGTCTGACGAGGAGAAGGTGGCGGAGCTGGCCAGGCAGCTGCAGGAAAGCGCTGCCAAGCTGCAGGCACTGAAGGGAGAGGTGAGGGCACATCAATCATGGGGGCCTGTGGGGCCTGGGGATCAGATCCTGTTTGGTGTCCTGGGTTAAGAGACATCTTTCAAGCTGGGTGCTGGTGGCTCATGCCTGTAATCCTAGCTACTCAGGAGACTGAGATCTTAGGATCGCAGTTCAAAGCCAGCCCAGGCAGGAAAGTCCGTGAAACTCTTATCTCTAATAAACCACCAGAAAACCGGAAGTGGCGCTGTGGCTCATGTGGTAGAGCATTTGCCTTGAGCTGAAGAGCTGAGGGACAGTGCTCAGGCTCAGAGCTCAAGCCCCATGACCAACACACACGCACAAAAGAGACATCTTTCAACATGGGGTGCTGTGAGGCTTCAGTGAGATGGTGCCTTCACAGGCTTGACAGGTATTAGGGAACAGGTTCTTAGTCCACACGAGGGGAGACATGGGAGCAAGGCTCCACACAGGCTGGAATACCAAGCCTCAGCTGGCACGTGTGTACCACGCTCTCCCACCAATGCTTGCCTGGGCTACTCTGGTTCTGGAGGCTGAGGCTCGTGGGGGAGGGTCAGCAGCAGGGTTGAGGCTCCCTACAGCCCCTTGTTTATGAAGACTTTCCTCCTCACCCCACCTTTCTGATGTTTAAGTTGAGGCCAGCCAGCAGGACAGGCTTGAGGTACCATTCTCTCCTTGGTTTTGCAGTGCTTTGAGCAGCAGAAGCCAGGGTCTGCTGTGAGTGTGGCCATTGCCAGCACCCTTGACCAGAAGCTGCGCCTGGTCGTCTCTGACTTCTACCAGCTCATCTTGGCCTTCCTCCAAGTCTACGATGATGAGCTGGGTGAGTGTGGCCAGCACCCTCAGCCTGACCTGCACTCATGTGGACCCATCATCCAAGCTGTGTATCAGAGCCTGATTTCCTGCAACCAGGTAAGAATTCTCTTCGTCTCTCTGCTGCGTCCACAGTAAGACTGATGGGGGCATGAGGGCTGGGGCAAGGAGCTAAAGGGCCTGGTATGGTAGAGCTCTCGAACCTTTGTCAGTTGAGACAATTACTTTTTGTATACTGGGGGGCAGGATGAGAGCTAGTGTGGAGGTGCTTACCAAGAAACCCACCACCAAGGAGGTTTGTGCTTTGTCTGCATTAGGTCCTATTGGACTCAATATGACATCCCGGCCTCCTTTGTCTTCCTATGTACCCTGAGCCCATATTGGTCTCATTTTTTTTAACATTATCCCTAAACATTCCCAGATGCCTCCCGTCTTATGTTACTAAGCAGTGTGCCACTCAGGCAAATAAAGGCTACGGCAGATGAGACAGGAGAAAGCCACCCATGTAGCTGAGCCAACTAAGTGAATACTTCTTGATTTTATTCCCCATCCCAGATCCTCAGACACCAGCCTCAAATGCTAGGGTTAGGCACCATCACTAGAACTGCCATGTGCAGAACTCTGACTTTGCTCCAAGATTCCATAATGTTTATTTGGGGTTCTTAATGGAAAGACTCGGACTTCTTAACATCAGGCCAGACTGTCCATAAGCCAATCCAGCCCCCCTGGGGAAATGGTTAGGCCTCAGTCCTCTGTCTCTCAGAAAGGTCTTTTCTCTTTATTTTTGTGGTACTGGAGTTTGAACTCAGGGCATCAAGCTTTCTAGGCAAGCATTGTACCATTTGAGCCATGCTCCTGGTCTTTGACATGTCCCCTTTTTATTGGAACATTTCTTTTCCTACCCTGACATTTGTTTTGCTCAAGCTGGGATGACTGGCAATGTCTCTGGGGACGAGGTTGCCAGAGTGCCACGATGGTGAGCTGTCACCACTGGGTGAAGGACAACTCTCCAGCTGGGAATTCTGTGTCTTTCTCTTGGCTCCCCATTTGTTGGAGGGCAGAGATTGAAGGTCACATGATCAGCGTGAATTTGGGTGGGAAGCGAGAGACACCATCTTGGTCAGACCGACAGTACCGAGTGCTTACGCATCCCCTCCCCTTCTCTTCTTGTCAGCTGCTGAAAGCAGTCGTGGAGGTCACCGATGCCACTGAGCAAGCTATGGACATAGCGAAGAAGCAGGAGGGTCAGCAGACCAGTTGGGGCAACAGCAGCTCCGTGAAGAGCTTAAGTATGATGCTTGGAGGGTGGGGGAAGCTGTCCCTGTGCATGCTTAGCTAAGTGATTGTTTCATGAGTGGAATCCTCTTTAATGCTCAACCAGCCAACTGGGTACAAGAGAGGACTTTTAGTCCCTTCCTCCCTCCCTCCCTCCCTTCCTGCCTCCCACCCTCCCTCATTCCCTCACTTCCTCCTGCGATTTGTTACCGAGCTTCTTCTACTTGAGCCTAGTGCTCTACCATTTGAGCCACAATTCCACTTCCAGATGTTTGGTGGTTAATTGGAGATAAGAGTCTCACAGATTTTCCTGCCTCAGCTTGCTTTGAACCATGATTCTCAGATCTCAACCTTCTGAATAGCTAAGATCACAGGCATGAGCCACTAGCTCATTTTTTTTTATTACTTAACATTTTTTGCTTAACCTTTTTTAAATTACTGAGTCTGTAGGTTGTTTTCAGTTTTTTAAAGTGACACATAATGCTGTTGTAAAATATAATACTGAAAAACTGGAAACAATCCTGAGCTGTAATATTATGTAATGCTTTGTAAACACAGACATAGTTTATTTGTTTGGCAAGGGACCAGTCATTGTTTCAAGAGTTGGATGCAATGATACAAGGGAATGCGGATTACAAAAGGTTAAAGGAACAAATAGAGGTTAAGAATCAGAGTATGACCTCACCTTACTAAAGGAACAAAATGTAGAAAAACCCTTGAAGGAAATGAGCCAGAATATGAACATTGATTTTTCTCTGGGTTAGAGTCAGAGGTAGTTCATTTTATTTCTTTAGCTGCTTTTGTAGTCTTCAAATACTCTTCAATGAGTGGAATACTTATATTATTTTCTTCTCTGTCTATCAATCTTTTAAAAAAGGATACAGCAAACAAATTTAGACATGGAGTGTTTACTCACATTATGTCCTTAGCACAAAGTTCTAGATGGGCCAGGTTCTTAGGCCCAAGTAATTTCCCTTGTATTTTTCCTTGTAAGAACTAGATTTGGTCCTTTGAACATTGTTACTGTTGGATAGGGGCAAAATTGTATCTGAATTTACATAAAATTTTCCATAAACTTCTTTGTTGTGTGTGCAGATACTGGAGCTTGAACCTAGGAACTCACACTTTTTTTTTGCGTCCTTGCTCATGGTTGGTTCTCTATTTGAGCCATGCCTCCAGTGCTGATTTTCTCCTGTATGGATAGACATTTGTCACAGCACTGTTTAATGTAAATCTCCTCCTTCCCCCACTCTTCTATAATACCATCACCTCCGTTTCCGCATTAAGTATGCATATATGTGTGGTTCTCTGTGTGGTTCTCTATTCTGTTCTGTTGTTGTTCTCTGTCTTCGTACCAGCATGCTATTACAAGCATGGTATTTTAGAAGATTGCAAAATAAATTGCAAAACAAATTCAAAGAAATAGGTGCCTTGTTTGGTCTCTCTGTCCTTCCTTACATCTTTGTCCTCCCTCCCTCCCTTCCCTCTTTCCTCTCCTCATCTCCCCTCCCCTCCCCTCCCATCTCTTCCCTTCCTCTCCCTTCCTCTCATCTTTTTCCTCTCCCTCCCCTCCCTTTTCTTCTTCCCCCTCCCCTCCTCTCCTTCCATCCCCTTCTTCCTGATTAAATCCAGGGCCTTTCACATGCTAAGCAAGTGCTCTCTATCCCTTGACTAAAGCTCCACTTTCAGCTTTTTGCTGGATAATTGGAGATAAGAGTCTCATGGAGTTTCCTGCCTGAGCTGACTTTGAATTGAGATCTTTAGATCTTAGCCTCCTGAGTAGCTAGGATTATAAGCGTGAGCCACAGGCTTCCATTTTCCTCTATAACTTCTGCTATGAAACCAGCTATTTATCATTGAAAATCCTTAAACAGGATGAGTTTCTTTCTTGTTTTCATAATTCTCTTGATCCATAGTTTCAAGCATTGGATTATAATGTGTCTGGAGCTCTTTAGACTTTTTAGATGTGTAGATAATTACTACTTTTTATGATCAATACACAACCAAGGAATTGACAATACTTCCTTCTCTTTCATATCTTGTCTCAGAACCTCAAGGTCAGCCAGAGGTGAGGACTGAGCACCTTCTTACATCTCTTCTGGCATTTTCAAAGCCCTGAGCATGCACATGGCCTTCTAGGTTCCCAGGGCTATGCTAGAGCTTTTCAGAACCCTTATAGACAGTTCATTCCTCAGTCTGTTCCCAAGCTTTTTGGTTATCTATTGTTTGCTCAGACTACTACCCATCATCTCAAGGAGCAGTAATTAAAGCATTTGACTATAACTGATTTTCACTGGTGTGTCCCTAAGTAGTGGCTTTACCTCATAAAGCCTGTCAGCCACTTCCCACTGGAAAGACTTTCTTTGGATGACCTTTCTAGCTCTTGCAGTTGGCCTTCTCATCACTCATGGCTTTGGCACATACCTGCTTCATGTATACCACAGACTGAGGAGGCTCTGCTTATTGATTAAACTATAACAGAATCCTCCAGTCTACAGTTTATTACAGCATTTATCCTAATCATCATTGTCATTGTGGCTCTCACTGCAGTCTATATAATTGCTATTAATAGTTTATTTATGATCCAATACTATCATTCCTATAATAATGATCATTAATACTCCTAACAGTATGTCATCTTGTAGGTGACTAGGATATAATACGACTAGTGGCTGATTTAGCTTTTCAGATAGGCACACTCTGTTAGCTGTGTGGACTGGAACCACACATTGTCTTCCCATGGCCCAGTGGATGTGGAGACTTCAAGAGAGTTAGGGCCCCACTTGGGGCTCCTGACTTAGCTCTGAGTATGTCTTCTTGACTTGCTTTTTTTTTTGCCAGTCATAAATCATCACACATTCTGTCTCTAGGCTTTTTCACTCATGAGTGGAAAAGTGCCCTACCTCACATGAGCCATGCCTCTAGTTCCCTGACTTGCTTTGAGACAAATTCTTAGGCTCTAGACACGCCCAGAGAAAGGGAACAATGCAAAATCCATTCCAAAGGCTACAAGCAATGCCCCTTTACTTTTTTGCTATGCTTTATCTGATAAATGGAGGTATTCAAGCAATGTGACCTCTCTCCTACTTAGGGATAGTCTGCATTTTTAGTCTTTTGTAGCTTTTTTTTTTTCCAGGGCTGAGGACCGAACCCAGGGCCTTGCGCGCGCTGGACCGGCGCCCTTCCGCTGGGCTAAACCCCCAGCCCCTGGTCTGCATTTTTTAAAAAAACTTTTTACAATTAGTATGTATTATTAGTACAAGGGGATTTATTTTTGACCTATCCATATTTGTTTATCGTGTGCCCTGATTAGCTTCCCACTGCTCTCCCTCTCCTTCCTTCTTTCTTCTTAAAACAATTTCAACAAGTTTCATTGTTCTGTGTTGTTGTTGTTTTTTTTATGAGTATGTATGTGTGTCCATCTCTGAGCTTTTTTTACTCAAGGCTTGCACTCTACCACTTGAGTCTCAGCTCCTCTTAAAGTTTTTTGGTGATTCATTGGAGATAAGAGTCTCATATACTTTCCAGGCTGGCTTTGAACCATGATCCTCGGATCTCAGCTTCCTGAGTAACTAGGAACAGTAACTAGTAACAGTTGTGAGGCACTGACACCTAGCTAATTGTTCTGTTTTTGTCTATGTATATCAAGTAATTGGACGTTGGACCATATTCACCTTCCTTCACCCTTTCCATTTACCCTTCCTCCTCCCATTATAACCCTCCCTCCATAAATTCTTGTCATTTATGTTTTAGGTATATGTTGATTGTCCAAAGAAATTTCACTGTGCTGTTTTAAACCTATATCTATCGATCAGACTTACCCCCCTTGATTACTGTTTTGCCCTGCCCCCATTCCTTAGAAATCAAATTCTCAGTGAGTTTTTTTATGCCATGTTGATAAACAGATACTGTATTTCTACATTATGCACCATTTAACAATCTTATGGCAGAATAATACTCCATTGTGTATATATACCACATTTTCAAATCCCTTCACCAGGGCAGTTCCCATAACTTGGCTATTGTGATTAAATAGTGCTGCAGTAAACATGGGTGTACAGGTGCTTCTTGCATCCCCTCAGATACATGTGTAAGAATGAAATCCCTGGATTGGATGGAAATTCCAAGACTAATTTTTTGAAAAATGAGTATATTAATTTCCACAGTGGTTGCACTAGTTTACATTCCCACCAGCAATGTATGAGGGTTTGTATTCCCCCACATTTTCACCAGCATTTGTTGTTGTGTTCTTGATTGATATTCTGACTAGAGGGAGATGGGAATCTCAGTGTTGTTATGATTTACATTTCCTTTATGGCCAGAGATATTGAGTAATTCTTCATGTATTTATTAACCATTTGTATTTTTGAGAAGTGTCTATTGCCCATTTGTTAATTGGGTTGTTGATTTTTGGAGGGAGTTTAGTTTTTCATGTTAATCTTCACATAGGCATAATTTGACTTCTTCCTTTCTTTATTTCTTTTTCTGGCCTTATTGTTCTGGCTAATGTTGAAAATGGCTTATGATGTTGGGGTGTCACATAGTAACAAAAATACCAAGGCAAAGTTTACTTCTAGGGAAGGATGTACCATCAGCCAAAAATCTGGATAGTAAGCAACACAGAGCAAGCAGGCTGCTCCCTTTTTACCCCTAAGTGAGCCAGTCCCTCCCCTCTGCTTGGATTGACTGAGCTCAGGTTCATAATCTTCAAAATGATGTGGCTTAGTAAATAGGATGTAACTAAAACTTTAAGGTGCTTATAACACCATGTCTTAATTAAAGTACAGCAGGAAAAGGATGAAACTAAAATGTAATTAAGGGCCAAGCCGCCTGGCAAAGTAGGAACTTTTCAGAAAAACAATTCTCACAAGATTGTCAGAAAGGAAGTGATCTACTTTGATAGAAAGATGCTTTTTCTCACATTAAGAATGCAAGCACTATATTGAACAAGAGTGGAGAGAGTAGATACTCTATTTCATTATTATGTTATTACGTTCCTTCTTTTTCTTAGTTTCTTCAGAGTTTTTATCATGAAAGGATTTTGGATTTTGTCAGAGGCGTTCTTTGCATTGAGATGATTGTATGATTTTGTCTTTCATTCTCTGTACTTATTGATTTAAATATGTTGAACTATCCTTGCATTCCTGGGATGAAAACAACCTGATCATGGTACGATCTTTTTTGATGTGTTGTTGAATTCAGTATGCATGTATTTTATTGAAAATGTTTGTGTCTATTCATGGAAGAGTCAAAATATAAAAGCAAAGGGGGGCAGAGCAACCATGTCAGTGCTGAGAATGGGCCACCAACACAGAGGCAATGCAGATAAATAACTGTGGAAGGCAGGAGTGAATGGGAGTGTTTTACTGGTGTCACAGGTAGGAAAGCCACAGTGATAGGACAGCCCTTGGAGGAGTGGAGGTGTCTGCCTGGTGGAACTAATCAGTTAACTACTGGGGTCCCACAGCCTAGTGGCTGCCCTGGCGACAAAGCAGTTGAAGCATATCTGTAGTGAGAAACAACTGCATAGCTGGGAACTCCCAGTGAGACCCTAGCCCATTGTTTTGTGAGATGATAGGAATGAATAAGGAATCAGATTCCTGATATGGCTGCCCAGGTAAGGTCCACCTCTTGATGGTGCCTATGGTTGAGGCTAATCCTTGTTCTGCTCATCCCATCCACAGCAAAGACTGCCTGTCATCTTGCCCTGCCTTCCACAGAACATCTTGAAACCCCTACCTATGAGAAACCCCACCAGAAAGAGGGCACTGGCCACCAAAGAAGCACTTAGGCTGTTGGCTTTACCCAGATTCTAGTTCTCAACTCCAGAGCTCTCCAGAGAGAGAGGGAGAGAGGGGGAGGGGGGAGAGAGAATGCCAGCCTACATCATGAAAAGACGTAGATGTGCAGGAAATCTGGCCTGAGAACTTTAAACATACTCAGCATAACATCCCAAAAGGCCTGGACCACTGAGGACCTAGCATTGAGGTGGAACAGGAGGTCGTAAATGTCATAAGAATAGAAAAGAGAAAAATGAGCACAGACTGAGTTCTATGCAGGCAGTTTCCAGATAGTTAACAGTCTTCAGAGCATAAAAGAAAAGGAAAGCACTGGAGATGCATCTCTATGTACCAGGTCCAGAGCTGATGGAGGCCACCATAGGCAGACACTGGGGCCAAAGGTTTAAGAGGGAAAGCCAGTGGGTGGGTGTTTTGGGGAGTGGCCCCAAGAGCTTGATGGTAGTGTTTTGTGAGTGCTCAGGGTCAAGCCCCCAGGTTCTGGATCCTACTCACCAAGCCCCCCCCCTCCCCCGCAGGCAGGAAAGTGTGGACTGCTCGGTTGGTAACTCACAATGGTGCAGATGCAAATGAAAGGAAGAGGAGGCTAAGGTTAGGGAACAGCCATCTGCAGAGATGTGAGTTACATAGGAAGGAGAAGCTGTTAAAAAAAAAAAAGGAATGCCCAAGGAAAAACAACTCTGGAGTTGAGAACAGCAAGTAAAGTCCCTCATTGGCACCCAGTAGTCATTGTCTGAAGTGGGTGCCTCAGGAGGAGTGTAGCTACAGACTTTAGTGGCCCCTCTTCCAAGAGCTGAGCAGCTGGAGTAACACATCGGCCTCCAGGATGAGGTGGGCTTCAGAGGAGTGCTGTTCAGCTAAGGCCTTAAGTGTGTTCCTTGTCATTTCATATGTCATGTGCACATAGCTTGTCTGATTAAAATAGAACATGCCCTGGCCCCTGGCTAGGTGCTGCCTCTCCTGTACTGCCTTAACAGCTCCCCAGCTCAGCATTCCTGGATCAAGAGTGGGAGTTTTGGATCCAGGCTTCAAGCCCCCCTCAGGACCAGGCTTCTGTGTCATCTGGTCCTGTAGGACTGGAGGGGAATCTGTGGTGGGCACAGGGTTGTGATGGGAAAGCAGGATGTGGCCTGGCAGTGGGGACTGCTTATCTCTGCCTCCTTCAGGCCCGAATGCATTAGACTTAACTTTGTTCTTTTTTTTTTTTACTTTCCTTTGTAGTCAGCAAAATGGATGAACTAACTCAGAAATACAAAGTCTTCAATGATATCCTGTACAAAGGCACAGGATAGGCTGGGAACAGAACCCTGAAGCCATCACAGGAGAAGTGGGAATGATCCCATTTGCTTCTCCCCTTAACCTGCAGGAAAAAGGAGTCTCAGGCTCTTAATAAACTGCCTTAAACCTACTGTTTGCTTCTGCCATTCTGTGTTACTCTGCTTTCCTCTGGTCAGGGCTATTCAGCTTTCTTTCTTCCTGTCCCCACATGTCCCCATCCACAGCAAGCTTGAATGCAGCCAGCTATATTGCTAGTGGGCCTGAGGCCCTGCCCCTCTCCCTGTTACTTCCATTCCTTGCAGTGGCCTGCTTGAACTGGGCCATACCTAGACCTGGAGGTCTCCATGACACTCTGACATGCCCCCTTTCTTGCTACCCATGCCATCTTCTCCCGTTGGCTGGCTTACACTCTTATAGGAGCCCCTCCCTGCCCCCAGGATGTCTGTAGTGCTCCTAGCCATGCCCCTGAGAGCCAGCACGTTGGCTCTCCCCTCCCCATGGTGCCACACTGGGGAATTCTTGTGGGGTTTTTTGTTGTTGTTGTTTTGGGTGATGGGACCTAGGCACTGTCTGTGAGCTCTTTACTCAAAGCTAGCATTCTACCACTTTGACCCACAGTACCACTTCTGGTTTTCCAGTGGTTAATTTCGAGATAAGAGTCTCACGGACTTGCCTGCTGGGGCTGGCTTTGAACTGCAATCCTCAGATCTCAGCTGCCTGAGTAGCAAAGATTATAGGCATGAGCCACTGGCACCTGGCAACACTGGGGGAATTCTTGATGTGGCCTGACTTGTTGTCCAGGAAACCGGTCTCTGGGCTTTCCAAGATGACCCAGTATCTCTGAGTAGTGTGCGTGTCACTGCCACCTCCCTCCCTTCACCAACGAGAACAGGCACAACTGGTGAGCCCATTGTGGCACCCATAGCTGCCTTGCCCCGCCCTGCCCTTGTCCGTTCATTTTGCTCCCCCCCCAATTCCTCTGGAACCTAGAGGCAGGAAAGCACCAGGGGGCTAGGTGCCAGGCCCTTACTGCCTAGGTAATCCCTTACACCACTGCTGGGGAAGGTTGAAGGCCAGGCAGGCTTGTGCTCTCCACTGTCCAAGGGAACCAACTACTTGATGGGCCACAGTGCTCAGAATGGCCTGCAGCATGCAGGAGAAGCATCTTGATTGCCCTTGAAGTTCCCCCCCCCTCCCTCCACCACATGTAGCACAGGTCTAGATCCTTGGGATGCCAGATTCTGGAGATGACACACTTCCTGGACCAGAGATGGCCTCACCACCCTCCCATGTGGACAGTATTCCTTGCCTGGAGCCAGGTAGGGTAGAAAAAACTTCAGGAACTTGGGATCAGAGGGGCCTCTAGCTGTCCCTTTACATTGCTCAGCCATAGCCCACAAGGCTTGCTGGGTCAAGCCTCATAACCTTCCTTTGGCCCAATGGAATGTTGTATCTATCTGCTTAGCCTCTTTGCCTTGGCTGGCAGCCTCCTCTAAATGCTGTTAGACATCATCTCTACACCTTTGACACAGATGCCATCTCCCTGTCCTTGTGAAAGGTGAACCGTCAAGGAGGGAGAACTATAGCAAGTGTCCACATTGTGCCTATCCCAGAGGCCATCCCTGCTCACTGGGGTAACACCTAGGTCTCGTCCTTCAAGAACTTTCTTCCTATAGGCTGTATGTTTCCCTCGTTTGTAATTACTAGAATATATTAGAATATTCTTAGCACAGGATCACAATAGCTAGGTGCATACAACCACATAAAATGATGCTTATCAAAATGAACTCCAAGAAATGGAAATGAGGTTTTTTTTAGCGTACTGTTGGCAGTTACTTCTTTTTTTCCCCTTTGGTTTATTCCCTGTTGTTACTGCTTTGATTTCTGTATCCTTGGTCTTGTATATAAGTTTATCTGATTTGGGGAAGGGAAGGGGAATCACAGAAACAGTGGTTCACAGGGTGAACCAATGCAACAGTGATACTCATTAGAAACGAACTTGGGGGGTGGGCAGGGAAGTGGCTGAAAATAAGGGAGGGTAACACTGTTCACAGGGAACTGTACTCATTGCCTTGCTTATGTGACTGTAAGTCCTGTGTACATCACCTGTACAATCAAAATTTTTTTTAAATCTTCCTTTCCCTAGGCTGAGCATAGCATGGGCCTCTGTTGTTCCTAAGGTGACATCAGCCTTACCAGGGACAGCCTGGTCCCCAGGGATGGCAGAAACCACGGCCTGGAGAAAGGGGCGTGTTGCCTTTATGCTTCAGTATAGAGCTAGGCACCAAATCTGGGTCAGCAGGCCCTCTAGCCACAGACTAGCCCTCAGGAAACTCAGGAAGGGCTAGATCAGAGCCTTCCACCATGTTCTGGCTTCCTGCTGCCTGTGAGGACATGTTCCTCCAGCCCGTGACAGTGCTGATCCCTCATCAAGCCTGCGTGCGGCAAGAGACTACTTCCCAGTCTGTAAACACAGGGTGTGTGTCGTAGTGGCTGTGAGCTCAAGAGGGGGCGGCCAGCAAGCCGGCAGCACAGGTCCTGCAGCCTCAGGGCTCCTGGTTGCCCAACAGCAGGCTGGGGGCGGACCATGGCTACTTATTAAAGGCTGCCTGGAGCAGCCTGTGCTGAGACAGGTGCCTAGCAGCCCAGGAAGCCAGCCAGTGCCCGCCCCAGGTAAGCCAGCGTGGTGGGGTTGCTGAGGACAGCTGCCGGGAACCCGGAGGCAGGCAGAGGGCAGTTTGGGGCAACCTTGTTTGCGAGGGAGAAGGTTGGGGAGACGGGCCTTTATGCAGGCTTTCTCCGGTGCCTGCTTCTCAACACTGTCCCAATTGGAAAACCCAGAGTGTTTCCTCACTGGGGCTTCTTAGCCAGTGTCCCATGAAGTTGTGCCCCCGTTCCATTCTTGGGCTGCCTCTCTGTATCCCTGATGGGGACTATGACTAGATGTGGGCTTATCAGCAAAAAAGCAGAGTGGGCACGGAAGGCCTTCCTTTAGCTACTCCTTAGGTAGGCAGGATGGGACTGGCGAGGCAGACTTGAGGGATGGAAAGGAGAGGGTGTTAGGTGTTTGGAGGGCTCCATCCTAGGGGGTAGAAGTAACAGGTCCTGACCACTGGCCTCCAGCCTGTGGAGTCTCCCTGTGGAGTGTCCCTGGATACGGGCCTTGGAAGCTACTCCCAGAACTAAAGTTCACACGAGATGAGTTGGGGGTTGGCAGGAAGTAAGACCTACAGAGGTCAGAGCTTTGGCCAGTGAGGAAACAGCCATGCTTAGCTGAGCCTGCATAGTCCATTTATTTTTTCTTCTTTTCTTGTTTTGTTGGTCATGGGGCCTGGGTGCTGTCCCTCAGCTCTTCAGCTCAAGGCTAGAGCTCTACCACTTGAGCCACAGCACCACTTCCAACTTTTTCTGCTTATGTGGTGCTGAGAAATCAAACCCAGGGCCTCATGCATGCAAGGCAAACACTCTACCATTGAGCCACATTCCCAGCTCTCTAGTTTTCTTTTGAATAGATGTAAATTTTGCTTACTTTCCAGGCGAGTAGATTACAAAGCTCATAACTAAATTCTCATTCAACTCACCTGCACATAGAAAGCAATGCTCCGAATAGCACACAGAAAGCTAATTCCCCATATATCTCACCTACTCTAGGCAAAAAAGGAAGGTTCTGAGCACATGGTAATGGGAGAAGTTTGGTTATTCCCATTTCTTTTTAAAATTGTTCTTACAAAGGTGATGTACAGAGGGGTTACAGGTATATAAGCCAGGGAATGAGTACATCCCTTTCTGGACAATGTCGCCCCTTCCGTCATATTCCCATTTCTTTAGCCATCGAGTTTATGCCTCTTGTTCTGGCAGCCTTAGGCCCTGCTGTTGCTGTGAGAGAACATCACCATGTCGGAGCCACCCCGGGCTGAGACCTTCATCTTTCTGGACCTGGAAGCCACTGGGCTCCCCAATGTGGATCCTGAGATCGCTGAGTTATCTCTCTTTGCTGTCCACCGCTCTTCCCTGGAGAACCCAGAGCGGGATGACTCTGGTACCCCCATGCTGCCCCGGGTCCTGGATAAGCTCACACTATGCATGTGCCCAGAGCGCCCCTTCACTGCCAAGGCCAGTGAGATTACTGGTTTGAGCAGTGAAGGTCTGGCACAGTGCCGGAAGGCTTGTTTCGATGATGCTGTAGTGAGGACACTGCAGGCCTTCCTGAGCCGCCAGGAGGGCCCCATCTGCCTGGTGGCCCACAATGGCTTTGATTACGACTTCCCTTTGCTGTGCACGGAGCTGCAACGCCTGGGTGCTCACCTGCCCCAGGACACTGTCTGCCTGGACACGCTACCAGCACTGCGGGGCCTGGACCGCGCCCACAGCCATGGCACCCGGGCTCAAGGCCATAAGAGCTACAGCTTGAGCAACCTCTTCCACCGCTATTTCCATGCTCAGCCGAGTGCGGCCCACTCAGCGGAGGGCGATGTGCATACCCTGCTCCTGATCTTCCTGCACCGTGCTGCTGAACTGCTAGCCTGGGCAGATGAGCAGGCCCGCAGCTGGGCCCACATTGAGCCCATGTATGTGCTGCCCGATGGCCCGAGCTTTGAGGCCTAAGTGCAAGCTTGCCTGTGCAGTCATGCTGAGGCTGGGAGCTGGTGCCGACCAGAACCTTGCTTCTCGTCCCCAGCACACAGCATGCATTCCCCAGCCCTAACCTCACTGGCCGTGGAGCCCTAGCGCCTTCTCTCAGCAGATGGCTGCTTCAAGGCTTTTCCATTCTTCCCCTGTGGCTGAAAATAAACGTCTTCAACTACTCACCAGCTGGCTTTAGTGACCAGACTCTTGGGGCCAGGCTCCCTGCTCATGTACCCCATCATCCTGCTTAGGGCTCACAGTGAGCCGTGTCAGGCTAGAGCAGAGTCCCCAGGGTGAGATTTGTGGGTGCACAGGGAAGGGGGAGACCTCAGCGCTCAGGCTGTTCTAGAGGGCTGATAGTTCCGATCCTGAGCCATTGGCCATCTCCCTGGCAAGTCTCCTGTCACCCTGAGTGTCGTCCTTGCTCCAGAGGCCCAGGAGATCAATGACTAGGGCCTGGGAATAAGCAGCTGAATCTGTACCAGGGAGGGAGGCAGGAGGGGA